TTATTTTTCATAAATCACATTGATAATGTCAAGGATAAATTAAGCATCACAAAAATTAAATGTGAATTCAAAACTATATCGCAATTGACTTTGATCATATAAACTTTATGTAATTATAATATCCTTTATTCGTACATTTAAATTAGATCCTTTTAAATTTTTGTTGCATAAACCATTTAATTTAATTATTTTTTGGAGGCAATGATTGCAAGGGGTCAAATCTATTAATTTATTTACTTTGAAACTTTTAAATACTTGTAAACTATGACTAAGTAACTGACATATTATGTTTGGTTCATTATTTGATATTTATTAATTGTTATGAATTTATTACATATCAGTACATAATATATTATATATACAATGAGTACATCAAATTTATCGAATAATTATATCCTTACTGATAAATATATTTATGAATTCAGAAATATGTGTTAACACTGTTAACAGGGAATAATAATACGTAATATTTATACGGGTATTCATTAAATTAAATGTGTAATAAAAATTAAAACTAACACCTCAACACGTAGATTTATTTTAAATTTAAAATAATATTCACCAAAAAGTGTATTATAATAGCTCCCATCTGCAAAATAAATATTAAATGGCTGGTGTATAAGTTAAATAATATAATATGACAACTGTTTGTGCATATTATTATATAAGTTTCGGTGTGGTTTTTTATTTTTTTATAAACGTAAGACAAAGAGATATTTTGTTATCGATAAAAAATATCAATTGACTAAAACGAAATAACAACGTATGACGCCTGTATAACAAATATCAATATATAATATATTATAATAACCGAATTCTCGTTCGATGCTTATTATATTGTTATATCAATGAACAATCGTTTTCAATAACGCACATAATGAACCTCTGAATGTGAATTAGACTTCCCGTATACAATATTAATTGCTATAAATACTTTTATACGCATCCTGTTTTTTTTTTATTTATATGAACATTCGGTACGTACTACGTCGTATAGGTACATAAATGCGTAAAATACGTCCCCCGACGCGCCCGCAGAAAATTAAAGTAGTCGACCGTGTTCAAATTTAGTGTCAACCTTAACCAACCATTTTTTAACACTCTTCTCATTTAAATGTTAAATATGATATGTATGAAATCAATATTTTAAAAATTTCAGTGTATACGTATGTATTACTGTGAACAAAACGTGGCTTTTCTTACACCAAGAGGCATTAATAATATACAATAATATAATAATGTACTCGGGTCCAATGCACTATTATTATATATTTCTATCATTAAAACAATATTTTATAATTTATTTTGCTAAATTAACGAATTGCCATGGCATTAAGAAAAAGTTATTAATTAGTTGAATATAGTGTAAGAAAATACGCACAGACAACTTTTTAGTTAAATAACGATCAGAAAAAGTATTGCACTTTATGATATTGTATTTATTCATTTTTCAATTTTTAAGATTGGTTTACAGCGTAATTGTCCACTCGTCTCCCTTTTAATTTGTTCAAACAATAATCCAAGCAAGTAGCAATTATTATGTTTCAGTAGAATTCCCATCATTTATTTTTTTATTTTTTGAAAGTTTTCTTTACAGAGATCTATCCTTTGTTATTTTTCCAATAGCTTTTTATTATCATATATTATAGTCATTGTATGCGTCTAACTTATTTGTTAACATTCTACTGCAACGTATTAGCATTAAATCTCAAAAACTACGATCCTTTTTTGTTTTTCTTTAGGGATCACGCATATTATCCAAGTTTCACCGATTCACCGCCATAAAACAGTACATTCCAAATATATTATATGATTTATGTTTTAGAAGATGTATTCTGATATAATACGTAGGCCAATATTTCTTAAGGTAAAAAGACTCGTATCCGAAAACAATTCGAAAATGATAAAATCTATTTGGACATAATGTTTAGTATTTAATTTTTACGTCCAGACTTATGGTAAACATTAAATAATATAAATATACTTCTGTCCTCTTAAATATTTAAATTCTTTCGAACCTTTAATTCTCCGATTTCCTTATAACTTATAAGTTATAAGTCACTAATGTTGTTTATTCTTATCCTAGGTATTGTATAATAATTGTTCCTGCTCCACCAAACAATTTTGATATTTTTTTCGCGTAAATATTTTCACAATGAAAATTATACATAACTACATAAATATCTATATATTTCGTGATCTCACTAGACTCACTATGCCCAATATCGCGTTCCAGTACATTTATTTTTTTATTAAAACCTATGTGTTCATTAATATATCACCATGTTTGTTCGACGACGAACAAACGCGTTTATATAACGCATATCATTTTAATGATATATTTATGTTCACAATCATTCCGTAGTCGTATTTAATTCAGCTAATTTAAAAGAAACGCAAAAATAACAACATTATAATCGCACGGTGCGAGTTAATGACGCGAGCTTACACGCGTAACGTCGTCATTTAAATAACGATATAATAGGTAGGTAGGTATTTAATACGTCCCACGACTAACATTCGACAGTCGACACAAACAAATATTATCTATAACAGTCCGCACGGTCTCTGATCTCCGAGGTGAAATCCATCATAGATCACGATTACCATATAATTATGCGTATTGTATACTAAAACGTAAGCAGTTTACTACATATATGTTATATTGCATGAAACCTACTGCCTATAGACTAAAATAAGCTATAGTCACTGTTATGATTAATCGTACATACAATGTATACATCATTTTCAAACACGTCAACGTTATCATCATAATATTGTAAATTTGTAATTCAAACATTTACCACGTTTTCGGATGACAAAACCAGAATAAATATTATATTATGCAATAGGTATTATAGGTACAGAGTGCCGAGTGGTCACTATGTTATCTCCGTAGTACTTATCTCACTCGTGACATATACCGTGATTACAAATGAATCCTGTGTAACTGCAAATATTACATTGTTTACTTATATTATACACTAAATATTTACGTTTATTAAATCAAACCAAACTATATTATAATTATATAGGCGTGGGCGTGAGAGCAGTAGAAGGGATGGTTGTGTTACGGATAGTTATAACTGTTATAAGAGGGGACAGCAAAGAGGTACTTGCTTGTTTAGAGAAGTGATTTTTCATATTTTCTGTTTATGATTGACGATCTAAGGAATTTATTAAGAGCGTATCAGTGCAGAAAGACTATTTTTTTCTCCAACCCACGTGTAACGCATAGATAAAACGAATTAACTCTAAAGTCTAAACCGTGTTCTTAGATTTTTTCCGAATAAAATCACATATTACAAAAAGCAATTCCCATAGTAAGCGATTTACTTTATAACTATTTAAATGTGACAAACATTCTACATTATTTAATTTTAATTGTATCTAGTTTTTATAAATATGTATTTCATAACAGATCCCCACACAGTTCTTTTGTAGTGGTAATTAGAGTAAATAGAGCAAGCTTTTATTATTTTATTATTAATTATCTACCTAGGACCTACCTATTATATAGTTTTTAAGTACATTTTATAGAATTTAAACGCCAAAAACCAATAATTCTTAAATAACTGATAATGAATTACGATTATGTATAGGTACGTTGAATTCCATTAGTATTGCTATCTACCTAAATGGAATAAATGTTTAATATTAAGGTACACTGATCATTGACCAATGACATTAACAAAATAAAAAAAAAAAATTAAAAAAATAAATAAATAAATACATTAACCAATAACAAGAGTTAACATTGAATATTTTAATAAAATTTTAGGAAGCAATTTGATTTATTCATATCATAAGTTTTTTTGATTATTGATAACTAATAAAAAAAAAATTTTAATAAATAATTATTAGTTTTATAATAAGTACTAGAATTATACAACAAATCGCAACAGACACTACCCTAAATGTCTGCTACACGAATGCATATTTTTTGACACTAAAGTTTCATATTTTATTCATAATATAACTCTTTGCGAATCACTATAAATTTGTGGACTATAAATTACCTAGATTGATTAGATTTAAATAGAGATAAAATTTATTTACCTACTACCAGATAATATAATAGGTACATTATACTGTTATGTACTCGTGTAAAACCCTTGAAAATCCAAAATCATTCTCAATGTGATGGGTGATTTTACATTTTTACTCTATTTAGAATTATACGAGGCCCACAAACAAAGTATTTTGCGTGAGCGAGTTTTGTCACTTGATCCATCTTACGCGTGGGCGAGGGAGTGAAAACAAAATATAGTCAGTGCACTAACAGCCTCTTGAATTTGTTTGATGACTGGACGGTTTTCAGCGAAAAAGTACTTTTCGGTGGCTTACACATTTATACGCGTTCTGCAGAGACGCACGAGAGGGAGCGCAACAAGTGAAATAAAACATCGTCGGAGACGACGACCACGAGAGGGGAAGAAAATACAACATCGAAACCGACCGACAGACTCCTTTTCGGTTGTAGTCGTCGGATTTCGATTTAATAACAATCTAATCGCCATATCGGTATTGTTATCCGCCCGTACAAGGCCATTATCTGCCGCCGCTGACGACGACGGCGGCGAAGCGTTCGTCCAGACGACACACACGTTTCCTATGCATATATTATATTATATTGTATGGTTTTAATTTTTTATTATTCTGATCACGCCGAATTTCGAATGACGAACGGACAGTCGGAAGACGTGAGCAAGGTGACGTTCACGCGTACCGCCGACACGTGCGCATCGATCTCGCGCGATTCGTCGGCGTCCGAGCGTGAACGCTCCTTCGCGGCGACGGCGCGACGCACGCGGTCTTGTCCGCACGGTATTTACCGTGCCGCGACAAGCATGATTACCGTACGCGAGCCGCCGCTCGACGACCGCGGCCGGCCTCGAACAATGGGAAATTGGGTGGCGGCCGTCCGTTGGCCACACTGGTCTCGTGCGGCGGTGGGGAGGACGTCGTGTCGACCACCAGTCCTGGTGGTCCGCCGAGTTTTATCAGAGTATCAGACGACAGACACAAAAAGAATATTACTCCGCAGCACACCCACCTACGGATTCTCGTACTGCTATCGCCTATCTCTATTCGTCGTCGCTGCCTTTCGATATTTCTTCGGTTTGCGTCCGTCGCCAGACCGCGACCAGTTTGCCGCCGCCGTCCGCAGCGCGCACAGTCTGATTTTTGATATATTTCAAATTTTTTATCGCAAACGATTATAAAAAAAAAAAAAAAAAAACGAGAGTGAAAGGAAATTTTCAAACGCACTACAACCCCCTTTGGAGTTCATAGCAGACTACTTATCTTTTACGCTGTATAACTATCGCATTTTTTCTAACACTACTGTTGACATAGAATAGCTCTAAGCTCGTGTTTTTGTTATTTAACACCGTTCATCATAAGTGTCCTACAGACTGGTTTTCGATTGATAGTATGATATAACAACGACGACGTCGGAAGGAGAACAGAATACCCGCAGGGAAACCTTCGTTTGCAGCTCTCGACTAGTGTAGTAAGTGTACCCATCAACTACGTAAATAAATCCTTGTCTTGACGTCAATCTAGACCGAAACTCCTTTGGTCAACCCTTTATTGTCAACAGTTTGCTAACATCTGTCATGTGAACCGTCACAGATTTAGTGTATGGAGTGTACAGTTCGATTTATACCCCCTCAGTATGTCAAACATTCTATGTCCTATAACTGCGCCTCTATTTTAAGACGAGTTACCCTCCCCCTAAGCAGTTTCCATTAATATGCTCACCTAAAGTTTTAAATGTAGCAATCCTGTAACAATAACATACAAATATATTATTTGATTACCATTGTTCGGTATGTATTGTGTTATAATATGATTTAATTATCTGTTCTGTTAAATTTGCCACCTAGCATTAATTATTTTTTTAAGTAGAAAAAATAAAAATGTTATCTACATTGGTATTTACTTCTAAATAACTGTTTATCTATTCATTCTATTCCTTATTAGCAATAATTGTTTTTCTGGCCAGAATATGATAAAAAATATAATTATTCATAATTAATTTAGGCAGTCGTTAATCTAATAAATTATTAAATGTGCCACAAAGTGTCATCTTTGACGCACGTATAAAATACTTGTCATTGTTCATAAGTAATCAGTAAAACACTGGCTTACCTTTTTTAATTTATCTAAATAATTTTAATTTTTACAGGTTTTAATAAGTAATTAAATTATTAAAATGCCAACGTCCGGTCCAGTATACCAGCCAACTACAGTCAGTTATGAACAACAAAGTGAATGGTCTCAGCCGTCAAATGGCTTAATCAATCGTACCCTGAATCACATCCGTAACCCAAGGTGGTTCCACTGGTCATTTATTCTGATCAGCTGGATACTGATTGCCATTGGTGTATTCTTATTCCTGTCTATTACCACAAACTTTGTGAGCTCAAACGACATAAAGGACAATTATACAGAAGACATAGCATTTTTGGTTATTGGTTCTTTCTGTTTTGTATTCGGTGTTGTTCTATTAATAGGTTATTTCCGATATATCAAGGACAAGGAAAGTTGTCCTTGTTTCAATAGCAAAGCGCGACAAATGGAATCTCAGTCTTCCAATGGACAAGTATGTATCAGAGCTACAGAAACACTGTTTTTTATATGAAATAATAAACTTTTTGCTTATTTATACAGGTACTTACATTGAATCCATCTACAGATCTCCTAATGGCGTCTGCACAGTATGGACCTACATCAGAAGCTCCACCTACAATTATCGAAGAGGATGAAACTAGAAAATTAATGGGAAACGATAACAAAGATTGGTAAGTGTTGAGCATCTGCGTGTCTCATGAATTAAATGTTATTCAGTGACTACTTCATTAACAAAAGATCAAATAATATTTAAATGCTCATTAAATCCAAAGTCAGTCAAAAATGTAAAATACACATAATCATATTTATTATTAACTTTAACTATTAATCATTAACCATAGAGTAATGTTATAAATTATTTATACTTTTGTGTCATTAATGAATATGACTCATCCTTATACACTTTGAAGGACATCTTGTATTTTTTTTTATTTTTGTTAACATATTATAGGAAAATGAAAAATATAAAAAAAATAACCAATATGCTTTATTATAAATATAATATACATTGACATAAATTAATTGAATTGTTTTTGTTGTTTAAAAATATTGTTGCTTTATGTATATGTTATTTTATTGTTGTTTTAAATCTTAATTGACGATACCATTGATGATTAGTGCCATAGTTAATAAGAACTAATGTTTTTTTTATTTTTATTAATAATAAATGACATATAAAATGTAATGATTAATAGGGTGTTTTCTTTTATTTCTTATCAAATTTTTATAAATTCTTTTTACTGTATTGTGTGTGCAGCAATGACGAAAGGGACCACATGTTGGTAACAAGCAACCCGCCGGTAGCGGCGCTCCGCACGCATGTACCAGGCGGAGTCTCACCACTTTCTGGTGAAGATGCTTGACTTGAGGCGAATTTCACTGATTCTTTGTCGGGCATCAATGACTATTATCACAAGTGAGGATGTCATCATATCATAACATAATTTTATTTGTTACCCAAAACTAAACTCGTTTAACACACACAAATACTTGGTTATTGTTCTCAGTAGATACGAAAATCCTACACCTCACAATTACTTCTATTCTCCACAAACACCTGTCCACAACAAAGCACAACTACACGGCAACTGGACAGCACCACTTGCATTACACGACGACCTGACACCATCTATATGTTCATCAGTTTATAGTATGGATCAGGTAAAATAACAAACATTTGAAAGTTCATTATTTTAAATAATTATCTAACAAATAAAAATGTATTTTTTTTTTTTTTTTACAATTTTTCTATACAATAATTTTTTTACTACTTTCTTTGGCGATAATTGGTACTAAATTTTTTTTTATATATATAATTTTTATAAACTTACCTTTTTCTATTATTTTTTTAAATATTTTGATTATGTATACGTGAGTAAATTGTAAAGTTTCTATTATACCTATAAGACCTTTTATTATTGTTAATATTTTGCATCTTCAAAATGTTAATTTAATAATAATTAACAAATAAAATAATGTTTATAACAAATTTAAGATTATGATATAATATTAAATATAGTATTAATAATATGAGTGTTCAACAACAGCATTTATTTTAAGATGATATTTTTTTGATGTCATTATATCATAATGTTTTATTATAAAATATTGTATAAGATGTGCTGTAACAACAATAGATGTGATTAACCTCCTAAATTAATATGTACTTTTGTATACTTACCATTTTTTTTTTTTTTTTTTTTTGTATTATTGCATTTGATAAAGTCCATTTTTGTGATTAGATGTTAAGTAATTTTATTATGTTTAAAAACAAAGAATTCTTTATTAATTCTAATATATAATTTAGGTGTTAACACCTGATAATATTTTGTCTCATTACTTTTTAATATTTATTAAATAGTAGAAACTACAAACTATTTTATGATGTGATCCAATAATTCATAAATCAAACAATATTTTAAGTTCTGTGTGACTTGTTGAAAAACAAAATTTCTAGAAATGTAAAAAACATATTAATATGTGTATAATTGTAAGTATATATAAATGTACAGGTAATACCAGTGTTAATACTCAAAAATTACTTTCTTATCTATCAACAAACCAAATAAATTATAAAAGTATTAACCGACAATAGTTGTATTCACGCACGCGCTACGGTTATAATCCTTATTGCAATTTAGTTTTCTTCTATGTGCAATATGTTACTGTTGTCTATACCAATGTTTGAAGAATTTGTTGATAATAGAGTACTTTTGCATCGTTTTAATTTAAGATCAATTTTCTTTTGTTGGATATTAGATTCTATACTTTTACTTTAAAGATGAAATATTTAAGGACAAACATTATAAGTACCTATTGTATTTCACCAATATTTTTTTGCCGCGCCACAATAACGTCAATACCTCACAAGGTTGTAGTCGGTTATGATTTTATGACCGTCATTATTATTTTTCAATAGTCCAAAGACGATATTTTTTGGTATTATTATTAAAAATATACGAATTACAATAACAATTTTTTTTTTTTTTGTAATGGTGTTTGTGGTTATAACAAGGTTTTCAATTTCAAGGACTCTACGTCCTTTTCTCCCGTGAAACTGTTTCGATATAAGTATCCTACATAATATTATAATGCTGTATGTGTTGGAAAACATTTATATGACCCGTCAATCGACTGTAACATATCATGACATCAAGTTTTATATTATGTATTATCCGTTACGGTACAGTTTATTACGTTTCTTCGTACATGAGATCGTTATTGAGCACGCGGACAGTGGGCACCTTTTTTTCCGAATGAAAGACCGCTGAATATAGGTAGATAAGGTACTCGGTTATGACGTATTGCTAAAAGAATTTGTGGACATACACCCTTTTTCGCATAAGTAGAATAACGCAGATGACAATGGTAAACACCTTATAATCGTCAAATAAATTCTTAGGGTCCTTAGTATACAAATTAAGAATGTATACATATTAAATGATATTAAGTATAAAATAGTTTGTACTTAAGGAAGGTCTAGGATATTTCTTAAAATTGTACATTTTCAGTTTTCACACATCTGTTAACAAGTTATAATTTAATACCGTGTTACATATATATTTATTCAGTGGATAAGAATTAATAGTACCCATCCATCGAGGTTATGAAACCTCTAAATATTGTTTTTAATAATCACCTAATACTACAATAACGTGTCATCTGGGAATAATTGAACCGTGTAAATAATAGTTTTAGAAAATTTTGTTCGCGCCATTGAAAATTCTTATAGGTATTATATAATATCAACGTGTCACTATGGAAATAACGAGCATAGGTACACTAAGACATATCCAAATGCGTCATTGAAAATTCTTATAGGTATATATATATTATATCAACGTGTCGTTATGAAAATAGAGAGCATGCATTAAGACATATCCAGATAACCGGTTACTATACACCACTGTATAATGAGAGTAATGAGACCCACAACTGGCGATATCGGAGGTTTAATTTTTGGCACAGTGGAGACATATTTTAATCGTAACACGTATTGTTGTTTAATAATATAATGTATGTAAATGTATACAAACGTCGCGCCAAAATACCGGGGCGAGAACAAAAACTTAGTTTCAAAAAAATAATAATAATTAATAAAGTTACAAATCGTATTCATAATAATGTATAAACACGCATACACAGATACACTCGACGGGGATCCACTGAAAAACAAAAATAATAGTTCTGACCAGCTGATGACAGAGGTGTGTGTGGGTGTGTGTGTGTTTGTGTGTGGTGTCAGTTGGTTACGGATGAGGGGCACGGTTGTGATACGGTCGGTTGTCTTCGCGTCTCCACCACGGCACTCCTTCGATTCTAAAACAGATACAAAAGCAAATTAATAAAAAAAAAAAAACCGTTTTTGCGTACTCTGCTCGCACACGCAATTTTTATATCATGTATTTCAATCGACGTGCCGCGCTAGGGCGAGTGGTGCCTGTGGATGTTATGCAGATTTTCCAAGGCCGTCTTCATAAGGTATAATGGCGGTAAGCACTAATTACTAATATTGGAGTCCTCGCGTTCGAAATAGAAAAAAAAATTAAGAAATCGGCTTCCAAAATTATATATTATTATATCATAGCATTTAAAATGTTATGTTTCGTAGGGGAAATTATCAAAAATAAAATAACGTCTCTTGTAGCGATATATGTTATTAAAAATATAATACATGGTACGTAAATAACAATTCAATTATATGACGATAAGGAACACACGTGCTGCAGTAGAACAAAACTCAATAATGTATACAGTAATAATTTTAGAAAAACAGAACTTCTTTTGTTCCAAGGACTTCTCACGTGGAGATCATCGTCGTGAATTTTTTTTCCTGTCTATAGGTAATTCAACGACTACCTACACCTAATTTTGTCTGCTTCTGTCGAAGAATGTGCAAAACGAAAAAAGGGTGGATAATTATTTAAAGACCTCGTAAACAGTGATTTATATAGGGCTTCAAAATTATTTTCGCACCAGCCCTCATCAATCCTATATGGGTAACCTCACTATTCGAGGGTGTGGATAAAACGCGATCCTTTAAATTGTTTTCATCTAGTCGAGCGAGATAATTAAAATATACGAATACATTTTTTTTTCATTTAGACGACGCCCCACGCTCATAAGACGCCGATTGCGCACACGCACACACAGACACAGACACACACAAACACACAGACACACACAAACACACAAACACACACACACAAACATACACACACAAACACACACACACATACACGCGCGCGCGCGCGCGCGCATCAATTCGTGCAACACTCACTGCTGTATGTCGGACGCCGTCTCGTAGTGATGGCCGTTGGCCTCGCTACCGCCGCCGTCTCTCTGGCCGACGTACTGGTAAACGTTGCCCTGGAACTGCCGGCGAAGCGTGCCACCGTTATCGACACCGCCGGCGGTGGCCATCACGATGTTCTGCAGCGGTATGGTCTCGGTGCCGGTGGCCGTGCCCGACCCGGCGGCCAACGGTTGCCCGACAACGCCGCCGTTGTGCTGGTTGCTGCCGCCACCGCTGCTGTTGCTGTTCATCACCATCAGGGCGCCCGCGTTCGACCGGTGGTGGTGATGTCGGCCGTTCAGCTGCCTGTGCCGCTTCCGGCGGTCGGCGTCCTGCCGCACCCGGCACTGGACGGCCATCAGGAACGCGCTAACCGGCAGCACCAGGCCGCCGATGTAAAGGAACCGGGAGTCCCGGGTGGACACGACGGCTGCCATGATCAACAGGAAGCCCACCGTGATGCCCGCGAAATAAAACACCTGTGAAGCGCAGACGGTTTATAAACGATAACAGTAACGATGATTATTTTCAAAGCTGAAGAAAATAATAATCAATAACAGCATCGACCGGATGAAGTGGATGGAGTTGGGTTGGAACTCGCCATGGACGCGTGCGTGTTATATAACGTCATAGTTAATAATAATTTTGAGGCGGAATATCTCGTGAAAATTCTAAGAATTTATACTGCGCGGTTATATAATACTATCATAAAAAATACGTATTTTTTCATGGCTGCGCCGAAAGTTTAATTTTCGATACAGCTAACGAAGCGTTGGACAAAACGACCTTTTTCGACCTCCCATTATGGTCCATAAAAATAGATTTTTTAAAAACCGGATAAAATATTGTTTTTGGCAGAAACAAATAGGGTTCATATTATGTAGGCGGGCTGTTACCGCTTTAATAATATCATTGAACACCTATAAAATATTCTTCAGTCAAATAACTATGATTACAGAAATACATAACACTATACGTACATAATATCATGTACCTATAGTAATATTCGTCCGGCGCAATAGTAATCAATTTTTTTTTTATTCCTGAAGCATGAGATTCACTTTAGCGAAGTTAATAAAAAAAAAAAAATCTATGTTACAAATGCGAAGACTATATAAAAGTATTTTTTTTATCTAATATCATTCAAATGAAACTGAACTAAGACCCTAGAGCTTTGAGAACTATTCGGACTTAGACTCTATAGTGGACATACAAAAAACTATAACAGAGAATGCATAAAAATAATTATTATAGGATAGTACGCATATGATATCGCAATGACTTACCAGCAAGCAGAAATGGCAAAAGTTTTCGAACCTCGGACAGTGGCCGCCACAGGCATCGACGGCCACGTCGCACGAGGGCAACAACAGTGGCACTGCAGCCGGTGGCTGGTGATGGTGCCTCAAAACCGCGGCCGCGGTGTTCTGTGGCGGTAACTGTGGAGGTGGCGGCTGCGGCAGATACTGTGCGGCCGTGGCCGGCTGCTGTTGCTGCAGCTGCTGCTGCTGCTGCTGATGATGGTGAACGACCGACGACGGCGGCGGTTCAGCCGGCGGCCAGCCAGATGCCATCTGCGGCCGGTGGTGGTGCTGCAGTTGCTGCTGGTGGTGCAGTTGGTGCAACGATTGGTGATTCAACTGTTGCGTCGGCGGTTGCTGCAGCGGATTGTACTTGATGCCAGCCGTGGTCACCGACGACAAGGCGTCCGGATCAGTGGTGGCCCCACCGCCGCCGCTGCTCTTGTGGTGGCCACGAGACGTCTGCCGGTGGCTGTTGTACACCCGATGGTGCTTTGCACGGCGGGTGGCCGTGTACGCCCGATCGTTCGAGCTGTTCGACGAAGATCCGCCGGCCGCCGGAGAATGTCTGTCTGCGCTCCAGGCATTTCTGTTTGAACGCGATTAATGATAATAATTATTATAGATTATTATTAATACATATTATTAAATATTAGTCGTCGTCGGCGTTGTTATTACACGCTGCAGAAACGTATAATTATTAAAAATGTTCACAGCCAATAGTGTTTTTGCCGATTAAAATTCATATATTTCAATCATTAATTTGTATTTTCAAACAAATTAATTTTATAACCATTGTTATAATTATATAATTAAGCATTTATTTTTCGAATTTCATTAAATTATACAAATCGACAGATGACTTAAAAAGTATATAATAAAACACGATTATAAACACAAATTTTTAAAAGATAGTAAAAATAACATTATATAAAGGTGCCGTTACACTATCATGAGTTAGTATTTATAGTGTTGTTTTATATGATCACATCGTACTATCGTAGACATATTTAAAACCTGGAGATAAAGGTTTGCCAGTATAACCTTTAATATTTTAAATATTTTATCAATAGTTTAATTGATAACCATTTGACCACTATAACCCCACGTCTGTAAGTTTAATATTATTCAATATTACGGCAATAGTGATACCTACATTAAAAATATAGGCACGGTGTTCTACTAATTAAAATTGCAATGGAATTTTAACACGACATGACAAATTATGGACGAAACAAATACACGATAGAGTGTAAATGCACCTTTAGAGTTTGAATAGTAATAATGGGGAGAGAAAACTAATAATTTGTTATACATTAAGCTAGATTAAATTAAGATCACTCATAAGTTTAATATAATGATTAATGACGCCATATTTCCATAAATAAAAAATATTTTAAAATTTTGCAGTAAACATTACATAAATAATAATTTGAATACATGGTTTTATAAACGTTCACAGAACATTAGAAGAATTTATAAATTTAGAAGAAAGCTACAGCCCCTTAGCTTCCTTTCTGACTCTACCACCGAGTTATAATAATTATAAGCCCAAAATTTCATATAAAAATCAACCCTCCCTTAACTATCCCTAAATATATCTCTAATTTCTCGTTATTAAAATTGTTGGTGGTATGATATTACTTATTCATAGAGCAATACTTATATTTTGAAAATGCACTTGACGAGAGCCGTATTGCCTCGTCGGCATAGTTTTATAATATAATATACCTACATTATAGTTTTGTTGAATTCCGAGCCACCCTCTAGATCGTCTGGCTAGTATGTTCAAAAATTCCCTACTATGCAATAGGAAAATATATTGCAGATTGTTTTTTAGAGTGTATAATATAATAAATAAAAACTAAAAAGCTTTAGCAATGAGACGGACGGACGAAAACAATAAGAAATTCTTCCCTTTGTTCGCTGGTACAAAGATACAGACTGTCAGTTCAACATGACTATTATATATAATACAGTAATTTTCATTATTCCCGTCGTTTTTACTATTATTATTATAATTATCATTATATAATACGTAATGATTTTTTGCCGTAGTTTTGATGAGAACGGCCACGGGGTAAGTAGTTTATAAATAGTATATGTTAGTGTGAAAAGAAAATCCTTTGGAAATCGTTAAAATAATATTATACAATTCTATTATACACCGAACAAACCTCTAAATAACTCGAGGGGGGAGGTATATATAATACCATTGCTCCCTCTCTACTATCTTTTGTCAATAGTAAATAGTACAAAAACACGCCGCAGCCGTTTCTTGTCTCAATCATTAAAAGAAGAGCCACCCATTCATACACACCACATTTTGAAAGTAAATTTACCGTGATAATCAATAAATACTATACCTCTATACAATTTATATAGGGGCAGTATTCTTGGCAGATTACCACTTGCCCACAACATTAATCAAATTTAAAGACACATCGATGTCGGAATATTTTCAAGCAAATGAATACTTCAACGATATTCATCAACTACGTGGATTTCCTAGGCGTTTGAAAATCGGATTCGCCGTCGACGCACAAATTACTTCCTCCCCGGAAATCCGCCGATAACCCTGTCTACAATTTGTTCTAAAACTAAAATAACCTTCCGGACATAAGTATTGATCGAGTAAATTTACTGCAAACTGCTTGTAAATATCATTACAACTATAAATTATACATAAATGGGTAAATTTTATATTTTTGCTTAATCTATACGTATATAACTATAAAAGTAGAAGGTACGTCATCAATTCAGCGTTAGAAAGTCAAAGTCTAAACGCCGGCCATATTCAATGTCTCGGACCGACACGTTAATAAACTAGATGCAGCGTAACGACGACTCGAGGACTTGGATGTTTTAGAAGGAAAAGTATACATTTATATACGCTATAAAAATGAAAAAATAAATAAATATTAAAAGCAATTTATGGACTAGGAAATTGGAGAGACCTGTTGTTGGCTGTTACCTTGTTTATCATTTAAAAAAAATTTTAAAGGGAGAAATTATCGTAAGAATTTCAAGTCAATGTTTGCGTATTCACAGATATATGGCTAAAAATACGTATTTCTAGCCACCTTATGGTATTTTAATTTTAAAAGGGGAAGAAAAGTCTAGCTAATTTCAAATTTAAGTTTAAATTTTCACGAGAACATTATTCTTAACGTATAAAAAAAGTATGAATCAATTTTTACTTATCTATAGAGGCAATTGACATCTGTTGGCTGTATAGTTATAATAATTTACTTTTGTTTATAATTTTACCAGGAAGAATTTTAAAACTCAGCTTGTATGTTCATTAATATTTCTTGGATTACATTCGTAAAGAAAATATTTCAAAAATATTAATTTTTGTAAGAATATGTAAGAATATAGAATCAAAAATACATATTTTTAGCTGTTTTATATAATTGTGATTTTGCGCGAAAGGGGGTATTAAGTATTAACTATAGTCCACAATAACAATTCTATATAATAGGTCATCTAAAAAAAATAAAATAAAACAGATCGGGATATAACCACTCTCCTCCCTTCTTCTTCCTGGCACGTCATTGTCTACTATCTATATACCTACGTGGTTATTTTAATTTTATCATTTAGTTGAGCAGAGAACATCATAATAATAATCCTACCAACTAGTCTGCACGTGCGCATATTATAATATTAGGTAAACTCGTGCAGTCCCTACTCCCTAATTTGGAATTTTAACATCAATATTGCATACTTACAACAACGAAAAATGATAGGAAAAATTTTAAAGTTTTAAAATTTCAACAAAAATTAATCCGAAAAAACCACGTTCACCGTTTCAAGCAACGATAACAACACTTGTAATAAAATAAATCATCAATACGCGTAATATTACCTGGGCAACGAGTGGTGGTGATAACTGCTCGACGGAGGCCTGGGTCCGACCACTGCATTTGACTGTTGTTGTTGCGTGCCGTAAAATTGCTGTTGCAACAGCAATTGCTGCTGTTGCTGCTGTGACTGCTGCTGGTAATGGTGATGCGCGCGGCCGTTGTACGTGTTGTTGCCGTGCACCGGCGGCGGCGGCTTGGTGTAGACGGCCGCCGGCGGCGGTTCCGGACCGTATTGTTTAGAGCGTCCATGCCTTGACATGGTGCATCAACATGTCGCCGCTGATCGACCGTCGCCGCTGCCGTACGTCGTCGTCATTCGCATGCCTGCTGAAAAATCGAATTGTCAGTACCGTCATATTATGATGATTATCGTGCGCAAAATTATTATCGAGGATTATTTTGCGAGTATATTTTACTCCTCCTCTCCACTGTTGGAAAAATACATGAGCAATTATGATTGATAATCAAATACGTTTCGCAGACGTTTCATTTTCTGGCAAAACAAATCCTGTTCCACTCAGTTAGGTAATATAATGTAGATGGCTCAGACAGTGTGAAGTATAGTTATGTAGAGCCTATACCAGTCACCTTAAAATAATTGTGGTAACTTCATAACGTTATACACACAAAATTCACTGATAAAATCATACATAAACCGTTGACCAAAAGTTTAAATATTTTTTTTAAATTAAATAAAATATAATGCCTATATAAATTGCAATTGAGTACTTATACGTTTATTAAATGTAGTTTTTTATCAAATTATTTATAAATAGTTAAAATGCATTAACACTTATAAAACACAAAATCCGCAACTTTCTATTTTTTGACTTTCCAGTGACATGACAGTGCAATAATTATTTAGACAAACTACTAATGGCTAGTTAAGCTGACCCCATTATAATTATTATAGTTATTGATTATAACATTATAATTTATAAATAAAGAATAAACCATATTCTCTTAGTTTTAGCATTAAATTATTTTAATTTGATATTGATTGTTACTTATTGTAAAATCATTGAAAACAAATTATTTAAGACGCATATATTTTCAAAATTCCAAAAAAAAATTTCTATGAACAAATATTTTGGATTCCTCATCCTATTCCATATCCTTCCAGTAAATGGTAGTAGGAAAAAAACCACGGGAAAATGTGAAAAAAATAATGTGTGAGAATGGTTCAAAAGGAATTACCTTCGAAAAATACCACTAATAGCGCACATGTTTTATGCGTATGCGCCATAGGTGTAATAAATGAATAATTAATTACTATACAATTTAATTCAAACAAATGACTAGCATAAGATTTTTATACTTACTACTTATTATTGCGCATTCAGTTTCTAGCTACTATAGATATATATGTGAACTGACTGAATCGAATTACTTTAAATAACATCAGAAAAAGCGTTAATCGAAGTATTCAATTAAATGTAGAATTTTTACTTGTAATTACAATTAGTATAGGGTGACCATTTTTATAAAAAATAAAAAACGAGACAAACAATTTTTTATTAATATTATAATTTTTGTTTTTTCCAGTTACATTTAAGTTACAATTTAATAAAATAATAGTTATAATATGTTGCTCCTTTTAAAATTGTTTTATATTTTTTTAATACATTGATATTTTTTTTACAAACATTATATAACAATATGGAAATAACGGTATTAAAACGATATACTATCTTTTAAAAACAGGATAAAAAGCGTCCCATTCGGAGTTTGTCGGGACAACGAAACATAGGATCAATAAAGAGACAATCCCGTTTTAAACGGGACGTATATGGTCATCCTATATTAGTAAAATGACTATTTGAAAAATACTAATAATTGACCGGTTTATGACATAGAAGCATACGTAAACCATAATCGTTCTAGTACATTAGTTCATACCGATATTGATCTAAGAACTTAATTAATAAAGTACATATATATATGGTAACCTTATTGGCACGCTATACTTCTCCATTAGCATTCATTGAAAATTATCATTTATATCCAACCGATGAGTAAATTATCTTACCAGAAAAAAGAATCCAAGTAATATAAACTTAACATTGATAATTTTTAGAAACAGTCGTCTTTAACACATTGCTAATAACAATATTTCATAAACAAGTAAGCAAAGCTATAGTCAAAATCCGATGTGTGGGTACAAGCGACAAAAATGACGAAGCTAAAATCCTACATAGAAAATCTATATAGAACGGATGCGGAAATATTCGTATCAGAGTTTCGTCTACCAACACGTCTTATTGGTGAATGTGGGACACATCCAAAACAAATAAATCAATTTCCAGGACCAAGAATTACAAGGGCACTGTATTTTTCGCCTACCTACCGTAGTTTTTCTCACATAAATCTATTTACTAAGGAAATAATTTATTAATTATCATTCAAATCCACGGTAGAAATAATTCGATTTACATTGATTTTAATTCATAAATATCTCCTTTATTAAGGGGATCAGCAAGTGTGGTCACTCAACATGTTTTGTGCTCTACAATATGTGTTTGTGTTCCAGAAATAAAGCAGTAAACCAAGAAATATATTACTAGTCAGTTGTCAGTATAAAAAAGGACTTGGGAGTGTCAATGAGAATTTTTGACACACGCCCAGTTGCACACACGGCGTACGCCTATAAATACTGCTCGAAATATACAATTTTTAATTAAATCTGCATTAAATAATATTAAAGTCATGTTATGGCCATTTAAAGTTAAAATAACAAAACTTGTGTGTAAAGTTTCTTATAGAAATAATTATAACAACACAAAATAATACCAAATATTCTTTAGGACACTCGCACAAGTACCAAATATAAAATTTATTTTTATTAAAATATTTATACCAACACATTCGACGAATGCGTGTGCAATAATCGTAAATTAAAAACACACTTTTGTCGTGTGAATAGGAAAAAATATATTAACATATCGCAGAAAGCTAATTAAGAAACACAGGGCAACCGCAGCGATTTAAACAATGTTAATAATTTCCACTTTTGAATAAAAAAAATACCAGGCCATTGACGGGTATAAAGTAACAAATGCTAAAATGCTTTAAAATAAATAAATCAACTCCCAAAAAGTATAAATTTTTTTCGCGAGAATCAAAAAGCGTTAGGAAATATTTTTTAAGTATGTTATAAACATTTTTAAGAAGCAAGTATTAAAAAAATATAAATTTTTAAATGCTGTTTATTGACACTAGGCATCCATATCATATTTTGGTCAGTTCTGCATTTACCAAATAGACAAAATAGACTGAGAACAAACGAATAAAATGTAAAGACTATTATTCAAACCTTAAAAAAAATATTAATAATGCTTTTTGGTCCACCACCTGGAAGGTTGACTTTGCGATATGTTAGCATGCGGATTTAGTTAAATAATGCTTTTTCCAAATACTTTATCAAAAAAAAATTTTAATCAAAGAATAAGACATTATAACTTACAACACAATGCACAGCAGTAATTTACGAATATTTTTACTTTAATAATATGCTTTTATAGGAATAATTCCTGGACAAACAAAATATGAAAATAATATTAAATGAATGATAATAATAGTCGTATAGTGATAGTTAAATATACTTAAAAGCTTAAAACATAATGTTGATATGTTCAACATTTTTTTTAACCTAATTATTCAGTTATTATTATATTGAATCATATAATAAGTATACTATATAGAGAGATCTGATGGAACCAAGTACATAATTTAACCTAATTATCCAAGAGGACCAAAGTTACCAACATAAGTTATGTTATATAACCAATTTTATTATAAACCATCAAAAAATAGATAAACAATAATAATCGATATTTTAAATAAGTTTAATGAAAGATTTCAATCATTGTTGTTTTAAGTATAAATAAATATTCACTCGAACAATAAACAATCACGATTTTTGTTATAAACAATAATAAAATAATTATAAAATATGCAAAATTAAATGTTTATACAAATTTTGTAATCAATAAATATCGTCCAAATGTTGTACCTTCGTTGAGCTGCATAAACCCAAATTAAATGTATGTGAAATCTACAAATTTGCTCTCTAGACTAATAACCGATATGTAGTATCGTGTACCGTTGTACCGTAGAAACGAATATTAAAATAAAATACAGAGTGTACTTTACATGGTGTAATACAAAACAATAGCCCAACAACGATTGTGCAGGTCCGATTTATTTGTGCACATGCATGTGTACATATTCGTTACTTATTACAGTGAAAACTGTCTAATGCGGAATAGTAGTGGACCAATCAAAAATTCCGCTTTATTGAATATAACGGAAAAATTCCTGATTATAAATTCGTATCAATTTTTCGCATTAAAAATTAGTTAACAACATTTATAATTTTTATTTTATGATTTAGAGACTAATTTAAACTTAATTTATTACTTTACTTTATATAACTTATTTTAGATTAATTATAGACTTATTTTCTTACAAAATTATTAACAATTTATACATATTACATAAGTATGAAAGTTGGGAATTAAATTTAAATATTTAGCTTTTTCAAAAATCATGTAGTTTTTGTTTTGTCACTGTTGTTGCTATTTTTTCGGGCGTAACACGATTGCACACTTTTACCTTTTTACCTGAAAAAAACATAACACGATGCGCACAAAAATTAAATTTATAATTTGTCGGCTTAAATGATTATAGTTTAAAAACTATAGTTCAAAATCTGAACTAGGTGTTTGGCTGGAACAATTCTTTTCACTTAAATTTTTACCCTCGGAAGATGTAGAAGATGCTTTTGCTTATTTAATTGAAAATAGCCCTACTGATAGTTTTAAATTCACTGATTATATACTCAATAATTATTAATCATCCGATGATGCTTTTCCACCGATTTTATGGGCAACTGAAGCTGAACCTTTAACAGAGGCAAGACCTCAAAGATAATTAGGTAAAAGGTGCGCAATTGTGTTGTGTTTTTTTTTAGTAAAAAGGTAAAAAGTACGCAATTGTATTGTACCGCTGTTTCACAGCTATACATTATACATACAGAATAAGTTTGTATACGATAACCAAAACATACAAATTACCTAACTAATATATTATGTAGTGCAGTTTTATCTTGGTTATTGTTTTACGGCGTACCTATATATTCATATCAACGTAACATAACGCGTGTCATATTTACGGCTTATGCAAATACTAGCATTGGACTCACAAAACCGTTCCGTTTCCGCGTTAAGAAGGTTCTGTTTTATTGAGGTTCAACGACGTCTATATAAACTATAGAAACATGCTGGGACCATAGAAAAATTCCTCATTGGATAGTTTTCCGTTTTATT